TTTTTTTTTTCAGTCTCAATTGACTATTTTTTAAACAGACTTGTTTCATTCAAATGCCACTAAATTTACATCCTAACAGTATTCCCTGCTATGCTGGCAATATGGCATGGCAACTGTTTACAATCCATCCTTTCAGAGAACACGTAGAATCTACGTCTCTTATTCCAAACCTGCTGGCTTACAACATCCTTCCTCCACCCCCAAAACCTCCTAAAAATCAACAGACCCTGGAGACCTTAGAGTGCATAAAAGTGCTGTCAAACTTAAAAATTTGAGCTGAGACCTTCTGGGTTCACAGGAAAAAACTTTTGCAAAGACTAACAGCTGACTACATGGAAAAGCCATACTAGGCTTCTCAGCTGGAAGTCCATGTTTGCATATCTTGCCATGTAGTCATTTCAGATTATTCTATTCAAAGGCAAGAATTCTTAGCCCCAAGTAATTCTGCCTATATTTCCCTAGCCCACAGTATATTGAAATTGGCCCCCGCAATGTTCAGAAGTAGCAAATTTCTCATCAGGTCCCATTTGGTTTTTAAATGTACAAATCCTGCTTTTCAGAAGAGTGAAGTGGGACCTGAACAGGGAGTTATGGAAAGAGATATGTACTGTACATCCTTCACAATAGAGTCTCTTAAGAAACCTGGCCAAAATTTTCTCATTTAAAAAAAATGGTTTCATGTGAATCATTGCATATTTGAAATTACGTTATATGAGCTGAAGGGGAAAAAATAAAAAGAAGCAAGTCTGAAACCTATTTAGAATTTTAAAAGATTTCATAATAACCTCAAGGCCATGCAGACCACATTAAAAAATTGAAAATCTTCCACAGATGACATAAGCTTAGAGGCAATTTTTGCTACAGAGCACATGAATAACCATCATTATGACACATCACCCTCCCACCTCTGATCACAGTTAATTAAAAGAAAGCATGTGTCATGAAGCTATCACATCAGATGTTTAACCAACAAAACAGGAATACATTGAGCTCTGATGTAATTCCACTGACTTCACAAATTTATATTACGGACTATTTTCTCTTATAATGTTCAAAGAACATTTAAGGCTGTAATTCGGGAGGGGAGAGGGGTAGGGGGGGAACCTAAAGAAATTGTTACCATCAACTATCTCAGATTACGTTCTTGTGGTGTGTGAAAAGGCACTGTTGTTACCGACAGATATTTTTGTAAGCGCCCATGGCACTTAGAAAACAGGGATCCATGGACAAACTCAGAGCCACACTTGGAGAAATGCAAAGCACAGCTAACAGTTTGAACATAAAGACTACTGGGAACATCAAGAGGAGTGTGCACAGGTTGGTCTCATGATTTACAAATGAAAACCTGGAAATTCTCTCCTCCCAGGTGGGCTCTAAGGAAAAAGTATTATTTAATCTCAGGCAAGTCACTTCCTGTCACTGTATCTCAGATTCCTACTTTAAAATAAGAACAACAGGAATCCTTTTTTTCCATTCTACAACTGTTTGGCTTATTTAAATAATATAGTGCCTGGGGCAAAAAAATAATCTCTCACAAGGCTAAATACATAGTATGTATCAGTATGAGAGACAGGAAAAAATTCCAATGATCAAAGTAAATAGTGTCACTGCATTTCAATTAGGGTATAAAATATAAGAAACCCAAGATAAATGTCTGCTTCACACTGGTTTCTGTATTCAACCTGGGAATAACCTTTTCCCCCATCTAAGTTCCTCTAATAAAGCAGGGAGTGCAGTAATTCTATCTTCCCAGTGTCCCTCTGAAATACATGTGGTTCTCCCCCACTACCGTAGTAATGGGACAAAAGCAAGGGAAGCTTGAGACAACCTTCAGTGTAACAATCAGATGTGGTCTGCAATTTTACACTGTATGAATGTGTAAGAAGTTGCTTCATTTTGACTGAACTACATAATGAGCAGCCTGCCACAGGATCCTAAAGGATCTGTCAAGCCCCAAGCAGCAGAACCATAAGCATCCCACATTCATCAAGTCCTCTAGTCACCAGAAAAGGTAATAAGTTTTTCAACTAAGTATTCAAGCACTGAGTTACCATACCTTCCCTATCCTTTTTTTTTTTTTTTTGGACAAATCAGGGAATTTGGAAGATAAAAATCAATGGAAGCAATTCTTTTATTAGAAAGTTTAATTTTACTTAGGATTAAAGGCATTCACAGAAGTTCAGCATTTTTCATTCCTTCTCTGTTTAATGCTTTTAAAGATCTAAAGATAAAGGGGGGGGGATTTTAAGTTATCAAAACAAACTGATCAACTGATGCGATCAGACTCTTCACTCCTTACACATCTGCAGTTCAAAAACATGTTTCAAAGTTTTAACCTTTCATCCTAAGTCAGGATAGGAAATCATGGGAAAGATTTTAACAGAAAAAGGGTATGACCTTTCCAGTTTTAATACACACTATTAAATTACAAATAATAAAAGACACTTCACAAAAAAGGGCAATTAATTCCAATTTGTGGAAGAAGCCACATATACCTGATGCTGGGCAAACTAGGGAATATAAGCAATCCAGCTGAAATGTAAAAAAAAAAAAAAACCCAAAAAAAAAACCAACCCCAAACAAAAAAAAAAAAACCACCACCAAAGCTATAATGAGGCAAAAGAGAAAAGAACAGAAGGACAGATGACAGAAGACGGCATGGCCTGAGTCTCCCTAGTGTCAAAAACACTAATCACAGGGGGAAAAAAAAAAAAAAAAAGAAAACTCAAAAAACCTAGATTTCTGGGTTTTCAGCTATCTCTGGCTTCTAGTCGGCTCCCTCTATATTCAATTAAGAAAAGCTGGCAGCTTTCATACATCTCGAATTGCCTCAGCAAATGCCCATTTCCTTCACAATTAACGATTAGAAACTTAAAACTAGGCAGAATGAATCTCAGATCGAGAGACTGAAAGAAGGGTCAGGGTTTACATGATGCCAGAACTGCATAAAACTGCAGGGAGGCCAGTGAATGAATCCGATGGACCAGTACCAAGTATGGCCCTACATACATCTTACAGGCGTGGGAATGGCATGTGCAGGTCTCATCTAGGCCCCTTACAGACTGCATGGTAATGTCAAGTCCCTCACAGTGAGATTCACAGACAAGAACCTGATTAATCAGGGACTAGCCTGCTTTAGCCAGTAGGAAAATCTAAGGCCATCTTCTAAATGCAAATGTCTTGCAACTTACTGTCAGAACTTCCTGAAGTGAAGCCTGAATTCAACAGTTGCTAGATAGCGTCTATTGGTACCACACCAACACAGAACATGAAGCTGTAACCACAAATATACATGCACCTTATCATGCCACTGCTGTGATACAAAGGGAATGCAATTAGACAAACTGGAATTTATCCAGAACAGAGCTAACACTTTTTTTAAAAAAAAAAAAAAAAAAAAAAGAAGTGGCAGTAACAATTACACAGTCAACATTTGAGGTTTATACTTCATACAGTACAACCTAACGTGTTCAGTTCCTAAAGCAACAAACGCAGTGAAGCATTTATGCTGTAGGCAGACAGTCTTAAAACATATGCTACATCATTAAGTATACGGGCTACTAACTAGCTGGGATATTTCAAGTTTCCTTGATACAGTAATCTACTGAATATCTGGTGCATAACAGGAATATGTTAGTGACTCCTGGAACGTCTACTGACTTGTACAAAAAAGCACATCTTAACACCACCAACCTTAAATGACTCTTTTTGTTAAAGTGTGTGAAAATTCCTGTATTACAACATGAACTGTTTTCTGTCAACAAAAGTAACCAAGAAAATTTAGAGACCTAAACAAATTATAACTTTTAGGTATTTAGAAAAAAGCACACCCACCTTTTCATCTAGATTTCCATTACGATCAAACTGGTAGAGTGATGCCAGATGAGTAATGATCCACCAGCTAAAACTCAATGGGTCTTTACACTGAATTGTTTCAAAACCAGATATTCTTTCAGAACTACTTGGCCTTTCAAAGATACTCTTCAGAGTTTTGTTCACCAAGCTCCAGAAACACTGTAGAAAATACAAAAGTAAATTTGAGCATTGTTGACTAACAAAGCCTATGTCAACAATCTTCTCTACAATACTGTCTTACCGATTAATTTCCTTTTACAGAGAACAAGCAAGATGACAATTATTTAAAGAAAAAAATCGCAAAAAACAGTGTTCAGTATTACTGGAGAAAATCTGGAGCTACTTTAGAATGTCCTCTCTCAAATACCAGTAGAAAGCAATGTGAAAGGACAAGCTTTGGTCACAAGGAAGAAAATGGTGCAATACTTCACAGGCAAAATCACAAGTTGATGGAATGACAATGTGCAGATGGGATGCTGCACCAACACTCACGTGAAACAGATTGAGAGTTCTTTAACAAAGACTTTTTATAATAGATTTTTAGAAAACTTTCAGTGCCAGACTAACCTAACCAAGAGGAACATAGTAGTAGATGGTAGAGAATCAGTCCGGAAGACAGCAAACTCCCTGAGGTTCAAATTCCCTGTTTTGTTCCAAGTCTGTTCCAGCACTGACAAACTGATTATTTCTCCTTGGCTCAGATCCCTGTCTATACCGCAATATAACTTCTTCTTACAGCCTGTGCCTATCCTCCGTAATTACAGAGAAACTCTCTGGGACTTGCACCCACCTTAGCTGGGTCCTGATCCTAACTTACACTTCAAAGTGGTAGCGCTAGTGCAAACACTTCACACTAATGAAGTTTCACTTGTGTTGTCCACCTTTATACCTGTTGTCCTTAACAATTAAATAGCTATCAGTACAAATACTCCACTGCTAAGTACTTCACTCTATACTAAGTGAACAGTACTCATTGTGCAGATGGCAGCTTCTGTTTTTATAAAGATTATTTCAGAAAGCTTTCAAAGGATTTTGACACTTCTTAATGCTCAGAGAAACATCAGCTCAATTCTAACCAGCAGTCAAGAAAGAAAAATCAAATCACTAGAAAACATTAGCAAAGGAAAAGAACAAAATAGAAAACATCATTATGCAACGTACAAAATCATATGGCCACCTAACCCATACTTGGAATTCTGCACGTAATACTGGTACTCAGTCATTCAAAATAGGATGTAGTAGTATGGAAAAAGGTTTAGAGAAGAGTTACAAAGATGACCACAGGTAGAGAATGGCATCTGTAAAAAGAATGACTGAATACAGTAAGACTCATCAACCTAGAAGATGCAGAAGGTAGGAGATATCAGGAAAAAAAACCTAGAGAGACATATAAAGTCATATTGGTATAAGGAAGGAGAACAGGTAGTGATTGGCTCTTCCCATAAAAGTATAATGGGGCACCAAAAGAGGTCAACAACTACAAGATTCAAAATCACAACCCAGGTTGTTCTTGTACAGGTAGTTAATGTATAGGTATCAAAGACAGAAACAGGGGCTAGATGGATCATTGGTCTGACTGTGCCCGTGCTTCTAACGCCTGGAGATGAATCACTGCATGACATCACACATCCTTGTTCTCTAGGGTCTACAGTACAAGTCTTATAAGGAGCAGCTGAGGGAACTGGGGTTGTTTAGTCTGGAGGAGGCTGAAGGGAGATCTTATTGCTCTCTACAACTACCTGAAAGGAGGTTGTAGTGAGGTGGGTGTCATATCTTGTTACTTGAGAGAAGAGACTAAGACAAGAGCAAACAGCCTCAGGTTGCACCAGGGGAGGCTTAGATTGGTTATTGGGAAAAATTTCTTCACCAAAATGGTTATCAAGCATTGGAACAGGCTGCCCAAGGAAGTGGTTGAGTTACCATCCCCGGAGGTATTTAAAAGATGTGTAGATGTGCCACTTCGGGACATGCTTTAGTAGTGGACTTGGCAGTGTTAGGTTAACGGCTGGACTTCATGATCTTAAAGGTCTTTTCCAACTGTAAGAGTCAGTCCAAAACCAGCATTGTCTCAACCTGATCATCAGGAGCACGGACTCTGAAAGTTAGGCTAATATCTTGACCTAAGTCTGCAGTGGCCTGCCTGAGAAGCAGTAGGCTCGTAAGGTCATTATGCCCTGGACAGAGCAAGGACAAGAGCTGCATCTGGCAGGAAACAGCAAAAGGATAGAGATGCTGCTATCTGCTTCTCCCTTCTAGAAACCTTGTGGGGGGAGCTAACAGCCGAAGGAGGGAGCCTTGAGGAGGCAAGACAGCTCTGTTTTGGCGGAAGAGTGCTGTACCGGTGTCCAGTGCCAGGAATGAGCCTGACCAGCATCGATGGAGCCAAGAAGAGGTGGAGATGCAGAGGAGGAGCAATGGGGCTTTTTGGCATAAAAAGGGGCTCCTCAGCACCCAAACTTTGGAAGCTTCCCCCATCAGGATCACGACGATTGTTAGGACCGGCAGGACGCTGCCTGGAACTGGGGCCATAGGGACGCCTTGGACCTGCAGTGGTAGCTATTGACCTCTTTCCTCTTTTCACTTTACTTTCTCCTTTCCTTTCACCTATCGCACACCGCTTTACAGGCAAACAATAAAATTTCACTGTTTGATTTTAGCAAACCCCTTTAGTGTGGTCACCTTAATTTTGCACTTTGAGATCGCAGCAAATGAACCATCATGAGCCCACTGAGTGGACCGTGACACCAACCTAAATGATTCTATGATTCTAAAAATTGCAAATAATTTCCCATTTAAAAAAAATAAAAAAAATAAAAAAAATTAAGATGGTTTCTCTTCTTTTGTCCTACCATACAACTTTCACAGTCTGTTCCTTTGCTTTACTTTCCTCAGGACAAGAAGCACTCCTTATCAGTGCCCTAGGTCATAACCAAACAGTACACTGCAAATCTAGAGTCAGGACTTGACAAACATTCAAGACAGCAGCCTAAAGCATCACAGTTAGCACGCAGTCCTCCTAAAGCAAATCTGAAGTTCGGATCTATCATCAGATACGTGAACTAGCGCATTCATGGTAATTTGGGAACATTTAGTGACTGTATTGCATATGTAACACACATGCATATGTAACAGTGTTCTTCCATTACCTCTGTGTGTGACCCTTTATTTCTGTGGTCCAGCAGCTGAATAAGTAGAACCCATAATTCTTTAATGCAGGTACACGGATAGTGGTGACTAATAAGAGCCTCAGAAGGTCTCACCTGAAGAATATGCAATACAATTATTGAAAAAGTGATTTTTTTGAAATTGCATTTTATGTACCAGTATTTCCTCTGGTTTTGTTTGTTTAGAGGCTTTTTTTTTTTTGCAGTTAAATAACACATCTACAATTACATATTGGAAAGCACATTATTTCATTAATATCCCAAATATATCTGTCATACAACAAAGACTGTTTCCTAATTTTACATAAGTTACAGGTTGTGCTATTTCTTAGTTTCTTCTGAGCCACTTTCAAACATTATTTAATCAAATGAAAATGAGATTCTAAGGCCTAAGTGAAAAGCAATTGCAATAAATACCGATTCACTGTCTGATAGTAGGCAAAAGAGAAAATGATTGATTAGATTTTCTGGTTGTTCTTGGGAAGATAAGAAAAATATTTCCAATTATTTAATGGCTGTTATTGTTGTTATTTTTAACTGAAAAATCCTTAATGACTAGGTATAATGCTAGTAGAATATGTTTTTGTCGGCATGAGGATGTTAATGTTCCCATAGCATTTCACAAAATTTGCTTTTCGGTAAATTTACTGCAAGGCATTCTTTTAATATGCAGAAAACAGCATATTTCAAGTCATGTACGTTATTTGATTACTATTCCATATTTAACAAAATTCACTCAGACTGATGCATTTCAAATGCAAAGTAGTCTTCTTGTGATTCATCTTTCAGTTTTACATTCTCTGAATCGTGAAACAAAATAAGCAAAACAGCAAGAGGAAGTGCTAAATACATAAAAATTCTCTGTACACTTTAATGTTTAAGACGTACCCGCGCTGTATTTGAAATAATCATGGTATAGCCAAAACATTACTTACTCTGTCTTAGGACCTATGAATCCACTGAACTGTATTCAGAGGTGGTAAAAATAGTGAGAAAAGCTTTGCCTAAATAGCATAACTCAGCACGTTTTACCTTCAGTAAGGACACAACGGCAGAAATGTAGAAAGAAAAGAGGCATGACAAAGCAGCTCATACTCAATTTATCCCTAAACAATGAGTACTCCAAGTCTGAATCATCAACCTACACCCCTCTAATGCAAACAGAGGGGAATTGGCACCTAATTCATCTAACTTACTGCAGAAGAAAGAAGTGCTGCTATCCTTCCCTGACAGAAGGGACTGAGGGTGACTAGTTTAGCCAACTAACTCCTAGACACTTAGATCTGATAAGATGAATCCTGAATCTTTATAACCTCGTGCTTTTCTTGATCCATTCATGCACAACTATTCTCAAATCACACTGGTACTTGAAATCATTTCTGAATTTGGAAACCTAATGGGATAAATCAAAAATTAAATCAAAATAAGCAACGCCAGTGACAGCAGTAGCTGTGTGAAAGAGACATTACAGAAGTGGGAGTGAATGACTAAAACGCACATTCTCACAATTAGAATATCACCAATAGTTTCAAATCTGTATAATTTTCTATAAGGATACAGACTTTTAATTTATCATTCACCTTTAGAACAATAAGTTCACAACTACTGTTTTCATATACTTCCAAATCAGGTTTAAATACTGAACACTTAATTATAACCATGAATTTACATATACTTATAAGTGTAACACAAAATTTGTTTTTCCCTCTCTATAAAGAACCCTGCTTACCCTAAGAAATTGCCAGGGTGGACCCTGACAAACAATTTAAGAACATCATGAGGTCAAGACTGAAATATTTAAAATAATTCTATTATTCACATTCCTCATATGCTGTTCGGAGTTTTTCATGTACCTATGCCTCCTCACACTTTTAATTAAAGATCTGTTATGGGAATCTCTCAACAACCTGAATTAATCTCAGAAAGGAGCAGTCTACTTATTACAGATGCACTATAACACTGGAGGATTTTACGGAAGCATTAGGTACACAAACTGTCTTAGATGTGAGAATTTCAGGCCTCTTACATGGAGTACCATTTGTTGTTGCAGCAACTAGGCTTCTGCATCTACTACTTGCATCTACAAATGTACTCTTCTACAAGACAGCAGGATCTCTTCTGCAGGAGATGTGCAGTATCCATCCAGGATAGTTTGGCTAGTAGTATCAAAGCAAGACACCATACAGATATTTGTTAGACTAAGAATAACTAAGACACTGTTTTCTTCAGAGATAGTCTGGATTTCCACTTGCAACATCCTGAGTTCAGTATCTCTGTAAGAACGGTTATAACCAAAAATTGTGGTACTGTTGGGACCACAAAGCTCTGGTGCCAGAGATATTCTGCTGAAAACAGAAAGAAGATATCCAAGGACATATATTTCTTTGTCAAATTTATCCCATAGCACAATGGGCTCAGTACAAGATCCAAGTCAAGTGTTTTGATACCAGAGTTTTTCCAAGAAACAGATCTGAAAATACACATCTGGAGGATTAGAGTTTATGTCTTTCCTTCCAAGGATACCCACAAATGTTAAGAGCTGCACTTCTGAATGTTCTCAGACAGAAGCTTAATGATGTGTTTTAGCAATGAGCTGACAGTGTCACCTATTATGGGTATCAGTTGTGTTTTCAACAATTTTGAGGGGCATTATTTCCATTACTGGATTACAGCAATGAATGCATACTAGAGGAGGCATCAGATGAAGAGAAGTTATCCAGCTCAAGTGCAAGCTCCACTTCAGAAATGAATCTCACATAGTGCGGCCCAAGCCTAGGGAAAGCTGGAAAAAGAGTCGTGGCAAAAAAATCTTCCCTCTTTATAATGTGGCTCCGTAGAAGCAGCATCTGTCATTTTAACATCTGACATTTTAAAGCCTATCAAGCACAATGGTCAACTGATACTCTGAATCTTCCTTTAAAATATTAGTCTCATCTATTTGCTTTTTGACAGGAGAGGAGGTTGCAGTATTGCCTGATAATTTAATAGATAAAATCGATTTTAAAAGGCAACAGAATTCTCTACAGAAAGATAGTTTAAAAAAAAAAAAAAGAGTTATCAAATGCTAGTAGAGCCACCCCCCACCCATAATACGAAAGAATGGGGACTCCATTTTTCATGTCTTTGTACTAGGAAAACATAGATTATACAGTGGTCATTGCTACTTATTCCCAGAATTCAGTCCTGTGCTCATGGATTACACACGCCCATCTAAAACAGGTTTCACAATGACACAGTTAAAGAAGATCATGCAGCTCTTTTACTAGCTGCTATATGGAGCTATTATGACTGTCCAGCTTTGGAGTGCTCAAAACAAGTCAGAAAAGCACTGCAGCTATAGAAGGAAAGAAAAAGAAGAGAGATGCGTTTTCCCTTGACAAACATAAAAGCGCTGTAACAGAAAGATGAGGTTGTGGAAACAGGAGCAGTGCAACAATAAACTGTAATATGACATTCTGTAAGTGTCCAGTTAGCTTACTGCCACGATTACAGTTATTCTTTTTTTTTGTTCCTGTGAAGAGAGTTTGAAAAGATTTTTTCTTCTTTTTTTTTTTTTTGCATCTATAGCTCTAAACCTTTTAGACTGTGCCACGTTTGGCATTAAACTTGGAACACTGAACTTAGGAAATGTGGCACTTGCTTCTGCTCTGTACACAGTGCATTTCAATATTACTCTCTCATTCATCTGCCAGATGGTCATGAATAAATATAACACAATTTGAGCTCCTAACAAATAACACTCTTTAAAACATTGAGATATAAATCCATACATAACATTTAAAACTTAGCAGTAAGAAGTCATCTACGCATTTGTGCGATATCTAATTCATATGGTTCCCAACACAAGCATCTAACTGCCCATATCCTATATAAAGAAAAAAAAGTTACCTTTATATACTTGTTGATGGACAAGCTTATTAAATCAGATATGAGATTTCCACAGTGTGTCTCAAATAAACTGATACTGGTTAAATTCTCTCCAGTTAGATTTATGAAATGGTTAGCATATACAACTTGTCCTAAAACACATAAAAAAAAAATTAGACCTCTTTAGTCCTGGGTTTGGCTGTAGGAATACAAGACAGGATTTTTTTTTTCTATAGATTTTAGAATTGGTTTGTTGAGTTGTATGCAATTTTAATTTATGAACTCATTTGGGAAAGTTCATCCATTCTAAGTTCAAGATAGTCCCTTCATTATTACACTGAAGTCTGGTACTATTCTGGTTGACAGTAAAATAGTTTGGCACTTTACAGCCTTTTATTGGCACAGTTTTTGCAGTAGAATAAAGATTTATTTATCTGCAAGTTCCTCTTTGTCACATGCCAGTGCGCATGTTCTGAAATCATGACATGTTTTGCAGATATGCAAGTTGATGACAAACAATTCTGGAGAGGTCTAACACTTTCCTTTGGATGTGTTGATGTAAAAAGCTGGCATGATCATATTCCAACTTGAGCATTTGAAGACATTAACACAGATAAAATGGTAAAGTTAAGAGGCTGTAAGATCTTATCCCACAAGCTTTTCAGCAGTACAACTCCCTTGACATCAATGGAACAGAAGATATGCCTGTATTTTATTCTTGGAAATAGAGGATGAAGCCCTGAACCTGCTATCCTGCCACTGGTCTCAGCAGTGTGAAGTTTCTACTCAGTGTACTTTACAGAACAAGATGAGAACCGAAGAAATTCTACAAGGTAAGAATACAAGACAACATAATATATGCAGAGATACTACTGCTTTGACTAGTAAATTTTGTTGTTAAAAAGCACAAGCTTTCTCTTATCAAAATGGATTACTGCAGGCAGGTCCTGCTTAACCAACCTGATCTCCTTCTATGACCAGGTGACCTGCCTGGTCAGTGAGGGGAAGGCTGTGGATGTCATCATTTATTTTGGTAGCATGGACATGAACAATAGATACAATTCTCACAAAGCAAATAAAGTTCTCTTCTGTATTTTAACAATTCTTCAGCAAACTGGACTACTTTGAAGTTGGGTTCTTCAATTGCATTCTATGACCTTTTTTATCTAGCTTCTGTGAACAACTTACTCTTATCAATCTACTTTTTGCCCTTTTAAAAGCCTTTAAAAAAGAAAAAAAGGTATTGCCTTGCCCTTTTCTTGCTGTACTTTTACAAGCTCCTCTGACTGATGCTGCTTCTTTTGCCCAGTTATTTTCTTAGTGTTGCATACGGTGAACTATACGAATTCTCGGTTCTGAGATTCTTTGTTCTGGTCTGTTCTTGGACACTTTTCCTACACTGTTTTCATCAAATTGCTGTTCACTGTTATGCATGCTGGATCTCTGCAAACGCATTGTTATTTGTGATGTCAAAAAGTGTATTGTTATGTTGTAACGATCAGATGAGAACAAACTTCGTAATCTTGGTCAAGTTTTGATAAGACAAATTCCTATTTCACTTAATCTGAGCTACATGAAGATTCACAAAGAACCTGCCTTCACCATATTTGAGTTTACCCCATTAAATATAGCTATGCTTTAAAACTACCAAAAGTAGTAGCGATTCTAGAAAAATTAAGATGAAAAATCTCGGTAAGTCATATGTACAACAATAAGTTCAAAAAAAAAAAACCTGCATACTTACTCATCAATTTTTCACTTAATACATGAAGAACTTCCAATACTAGCCAATTAATATCCAAGTGGAGGTGTAGTAAATGCCATGATGGGGGAAAGACCTGTGATTAGAAATACACACATTCATTTATTTTTAACATTTCTTCAGTGAATTCTGGATACTGTACTAAGACACGTGAAGACAGGCATACGTTTTGGCTGCAGTGAACATTATGGATATCTATGATCAAATACACTGTAATATACAAATATGCCATTCCGTTAAAGAAAGAATAAAAAAACCCACCAAAAACCATGAAAACAAGCAAAAAACCTTCATGACAATTGACTCTGTCTGTAGAGGATGTTCATTAGGTCTTTAATCTGATCTAAACTACAATTTAAACACAATGTCTGGATTCAAGCTTGACAGATTATGACACCCTTAGTTATCCATTCCTTTCCAGAAAAGTATCAGGTAACACACAAACTGCTAAAGTAAGGTGTGCTCTTAAAGTAATTCCAAAATTTCAAGATTCTCTTCCACAAAGTTTACTCAAAATCACTGTTTCTTTTCAGCAGCAGCCCTACTGACATGCTTAATTAACAGAAAGATTCAAAATGCTGCTTCTCAGTGGATCATTCCTCTCCAGATACTAGTTTATACAACCTAAGACCAAAAAAGATTTGAAAGCATTAGTTATTATACGTATGCACAAATCTTATCGGTGTATACTTCACTAGTGATTAATGTCGCAATGCCTGCTTCCATACCTGTACATTTCTTCTTTGTTTTTATGCATGATTTTTTCCTATTTTGAGTCAGATTTCAGAACGTGTTTTTTAAAAAGTGCCACTCCTACTAGGAATGTCAGAAATTCTAACCATTAGTAAGAATAAACATCAAGGAATTTTTTTAAACGTTCCACACTAATTCAAGCCTATTTATCTACCTGTAATTGGTATTATCATTTGTACAGTGCAGGAAGAATTCTAAAAGCTGTAAAACACAAAAATAAATAAAAACAACAACAGAAAATCTAGAGCTCGTTAGTTGTGTTTGCCAAGTATGAGATGGCACTCAGTTAATAAATGGGAAAAACCCCAAAAAATAAAGCGTAACTTCAATTTCAGCCTGAAGAAAGATGTATTCTTATTCAGCCAAAATTTATCAAGTTGAATAAGTACTGTTACACACAAAAAAAAATTAAGTTATAGAAGACATCAACCTTTGCCAGATGTTGAACAGTAAATGTTGCCAGGACACTACTAGGGAGTTCACAAAGGTGACCAATGTGCATGGTCAAAGCATGAAGCTCTTCCACCAACAGTGATGGTAACTGTGCTTCTAGTTCTTCATATGGATGGAGGATTCCATCATTTTCTACTTTAGGGGGTTCCAGATACCTGAGCACACAGACACACAATCAGAAAATGGTTAAGAAGCAGCTACACAAAGCTCAGTATGCAAGTTGGTAAATTGTGTGCAAATCTCACCTGAAGATGAAAACTTTCACATAATGCAAAAACTCAGTACATTGACGCCTGATGCTCTCTGCTTCAGAGTGAAAGTTTGCAGCTTGACCTGAAGTAAAACAGACCAATAGCTCAAAGCAGATGTGCTCACACTGTGTGACTCATGTAACACATACGTTCTCTACAGTAATTAAACCAGACCACTGGAAAGCCACCCTCTTTTCTGACAACTTGGGAGGTGGCTGGTGGCAAACACCTGCTTCTAAATGTCATCTTGCCAGAGGGGTCTAATTTTTGTCTAACCTCGTGCATATCCAGATACAGAGGAAAAAGAAGGCACCCAGTCCTTCAGGAAAGATGGCAGAGGCAAGCAATCAGTGCTAGAAGAAATCATTCTACCCTACTGCCCTGCTCCCAAGACACCTTCAGAAAAAGACGTGGGGAATAATTTCACAGCATCCTTTTCTCTTGGGAGACTTAAGCAGGTGGACTTATTTGGAAACATGCTTTGTAACTTCTCTTCCTAGGAAGCATCACACAGTTGCACAGTGCCTTAAAATGTGTAATGCTAAGAGCTGTCCATTCACAACCCTGTAGCCTGCCCTTCCCTTGCAGTGCTGTATTCTTTCAGCCACTTATTGCGGCTATCTGTCTGCTCGCCTTTGCTCGCTGAAGCTGTTGCTCTCATGGTCTTACCCTCCCTATCTTGCACCTGCAAGCTCAACCACCATCATTATGGCAGGGATTCATTGGAAGCTATTGCCATTGATGTGAGAATCACTCCTTATTTATTCCCACACCTTGCCTTGTAGTTTTCAGCTTATACCAAGAAAGATGAAACTCAGTGCATAACAAAGCAGATGCAGTCATTTAAATACCCAATAACTACTGCCCAACAATATATATACACAAATGTTTAGCAACCAGTCAGCCTGCAACACTTGTACCTGATTAAGCACGTGCCAATAATTTTTAAAAGGGAACAGCAAACAAGGAGTTTGAGGAGGGCCCAATGAAAGCCTATCACACTAGAAGAGATGCGTCGCAAAAACTCTTTGACACCCCCTGACTGTCTCTCCTCTGTTTTCCTCATCATCTCCAGGTAACCTTGAAGTTCACTTGTTACAGACCCCACAAATAAAGTTTTGTGCATATAAGCCTATCTCAACATCTTTTGAGCACAACACTCACTGAGTGAAGCAAAAAAACCGGTACAAGTACCGTAATATTCCGGTGTAAAGCCTACCCCCACCACATAAGCCGCCGTAGGATCCACCATGGTAATGAACTGTAGGTTTAGAGGCTCAAATCCCTCTGTTCTAAAGGAATTATTTGTAGATATTACTGCTGCTTTGTAGCAATAACAAATATTTTATCCTAAGTTTTCACAAGTTCTGTTTAAGCAAAACTGTATATTACAGTATTTCACTACAAAATCTTTTGCATACTGTCATAAATCATTGAGCAATGAAAGAAATGGAACAAAACAGGAACAGTAGGGTGTTAAGAACAGATCAGGTATTTAAAAAAAAAAAAAAAAAGACAAAACAACACAGAGCATAAGAAAAGATTTTATATGGCTCCACATTATACAGTTCTCAGTACCAAGCCTCCAAAGCTCATTAAGGCTGATAGGAAATTAAATTAAATGTATGATATTGATATCTGTATAAACATACATGCAGAACAAAGATTCACTGAGCTAAAACTCTAAATTGCGGTTTTAAACAGTAGCAACAGAGCATTTATCCAAGACCTCAGTAACACCTAACACCACACTGCCTGATCATTTTAAATATTTTAATCCTCACAACACCCCTCTACTACTAGCCTGCTTGTATAAAGGGGGAACTGAGTCACAGATGTATCAGTGACTTGCTCTAAGTCACAAAGCAAGCCTGGTGCAAAGGACAAAATTCAAGTTATTTATTCTACCAGCTTATTTCACAAGAGGAAGAACAGGATACAGAGAAGGTAACCAAGCAGATGCTTAAATTTAAGGGAAAAGGAGCTACAGAACAGTTTCTTGGTGTCCAGCTACTATATAAAACTTCAAATGTAATTTTAAATCAGACTATTTCCACTTATGTATCAAATGTCAGCAAAATTAGACTTTTAAGATACAATCAACAAAAGCATATGAAAGAAGGTTGATGATAAATTCATACCAATAACTTAAATGGCAGACCAAGACAATATCAAATCAAAATAATAATGTGTAAAAATATTCACTCATACTCTTAGAACACTAGCAATTTATCCGTAACGAGAAGATACTACAGTTTATTTCTGAGTAATTACTGAATTTCTCAACTGGCTAAGCAATTCAGCCTTCAAACTTACAATAAGCCCAAGGCTGCAATAATCCTTCAGAAACAAACTGCTTCTCATGCCTTAGTATTTAATTGAAACAAAGCATTTTGTAATGATCCCTTTTTATCGATCCTGCTGCAAAGATAAAATAAGTTTATAAATAACTCTAAACTAAGCAAATATAACTAAGATGTTCAAATGTACCCAAGAGAACACTGAAAAAAAGTCCCAACCCGCTACGTTTGTAACTAAAATAGTTATTGGGAGTTTTGATGCAACTTTCCATTTTTAATTGAGTCAGTAGTTTTGCCAAATTCTACCTTAGGGGTGACACCTTAGCTCAAGTCAAATTAATGCAAAATTCTATACTAAGGCCAGTAAGGTCAGGAGTGCTCTGTGCACCTACTATCCAGGCAGATCTAGTTCCAAACTGACTCACAACATTCCTACTATCTATTTTCACACTACCTTACATCACTTGGTTGCCTATATTTGTACCCTTACTGCAGGTTTACGCTGGTTACTTGCTGTTCTGTGGCACACTCCGTAAGCCCTCGGTCAAGAGTCAAAGCACATGTGTGATCTGTGATAATACACTTCTATAATGAAAATGACTATATAGTCAGACACCTATCCCGAAGTCAAATTAAATGTGTTAAACTTACCAAAATCAGATGAACTCATTTGTACTAGGTTTTCCAGTCTGTATATCTGTTGCCTAATTAAAGGAATACAAAGGTATTTACACAGGTAAAAGTTGTTTAACCACATTTTTGTAAGGTCTAAATAGAACAGAGAGAGGTAAGAGGTGTTTCTTGCTTTGTATTTCCAAAAAAGCTTACAGAAATGTAACTTAGGAAAGAGTATTAGTGGAAGGCAATATACACATCCAAGTGTGAAGGGATGACAATGGATAGAATTTTTGCCTGTCTTTAAAACATTAAACACAGTAACAACAAATGCAAAATTAGTTAAATATCGGGGGAGGAAAAACAGCTACACAAAAACCCCAAAGGCCATTCCCTATAGGTGATCTTTCCAAAAGCATAACTCAACTTCATATTTGACCATAGAATAAACCTCATGGCATACACTCAGTATATACTAAATTAATCCGCTTGTGAATGCACACTAGTAAATTTTGTCAACTTTTCTGAAGCTTTTCCTGCTCCCTGCTTAGGGTGGTCTGCTGCTTGACTTGAGCACAAAAGACAAACAGCAACAAATCTAGTAGAGTAAAAGGAGAAAGCGTCTCTATAAAAGTTAAAAGTAAGATCAGTTTCGGAGGGGAGAGAGAGCATTTTTAAAGAAGCTGCTAACTGCCACTGCAAATGAAAATTAGAAAAAGCTGTAATGTAGGTGAGTACTCAGCCATATTCTGCAACACTGTTATTTTCAAGTGGTCTTCAAGTATAGTCTCCACAGAGATAACGTGGTACTAAACTGAACACATGAAAAGCGCAATTGTGTAAGACAGACTTTTGAAAGAAAATGCTGCATAAATTGAGGAAGGAGCTATCTGCCTCATTTCTTATACAGTCAAAGCAGCAACTACTGAAGGACTCAAAAACATGATACTTGGATCCATCCCAGACCAAGTGTTCTTACGAAAAAAAAAACCTGAAAACTAGGAAGTGCCCACAAGGATCCAAACACACAGGTTGTAACCTGCATATTAAAGGGCAGGCACACGTTAAAATTATCTCCCTTCGCTCCTCCTTCCTTGGATAACATCATGTCAGCTACCTAAGATTACTTTCAGCAATTTAGGTGGGTTGTTGGGTTTTTTGGTTTGTTTTGTTTTGAAATCAAAGCTGAATTTCTGCATTAATTTTTCAAGTATTTCAACAGTGTAGAAAGGAAGTAAGTCTAAAGCAGGAGGACTTTATGAAAGAGGGCTGTTGAGGTTGAAGGTCAGAGAGAGATAATCAGAAAGGAGCCACACAGGGGAAGGGAAAAAAAAAAAAAAAAAAAAAAAAAAGACTCTCCACTGAATTGACAAAGGCAGAATACAGTGGGCTAACAAAATAGAAGCACAAACTGGGCATTAGAAGCATACCAAAGATACCATCAGTTAAACAAGTAATTTTAATTTCAATTTGTATTTTTACCTCAAAGACTGATCCTCATGGTTGTTAATCAGTAAATCATTTGTTTTGCAAATAAATATTCTGACAGTTAAACTGGTACTTCTGTTTATTAACGAGTCAAAGATATATTGTTTTAATATACCCACTTAAATTGTTACATAGCTTTTACTTTGACTCACACATCTCCAATCACATAAAACACACAGAGGTAAGAATTCTTTTTACTGTGCAATTAACGTTTTTAACTTGCAGTTCTGCTGTGTAGTATTATTATTTATTACAATATTAAAAATATTAAATAACAATCTTTAATATTTACAGATATATTTAAAAAGACTAGGTTTCTGTAAGCTTGTATTTAAACATAGATACTATCTGTACTTCATAAATTGAACTGTTTACAGCCACCCTATCATAGAATCGTACAATGGTTTGGGTTGGAAGGGAGCTTAAAGATCAGCTAGTGCCAAACCCCCTGTCACGGGCAGGGACACCTTCCTTGCTCAAAGCCCCATCCAGCCTGGCCTTCAACACTGCCAGGAAGGGGGCAGCCACAGCTTCTCTGGGCAACCCATTCCAGTGCCTCACCACCCTCACAGTACAGAATTTCTTCATAATATCTGACCTAAATCTCCCCTCTTTCAGTTTGAAACCATTACTCCTCATCCTATCACCACACTCCCTGATCAAGAGTCCCTCCCCACCTTTCCTGTAGGCCCCCTTGAAGCACTGGAAGGCCACTATAAGGTCTCCATGAAGCCTTCTCTTCTCCAGGCTGAACAACCCCAGCTCTCTCAGCCTGTCCTCACAGGGGAGGTGCTCCAGCCCTCATTTTTGTGGCCCTCTTCCGGACCTGCTCCAACAGGTCGATGTCTTTCTTGTGCTGGAGGCACAGCACATCAGGTGGGGTCTCACCAGAGCAGAGGGGCGGAATCACCTCCCTCGACCTGCTGGCCACGCTTCTTTTGACACAGCCCAGGATGCGACTGCTTTCTGGGCTGCAAGCGCCCATCCTCAAGAATCATTAGAACTTGTACTTAACACATATGATTTCTACAATGAAAAAAGGTTTCCTCCTTCCAGCTGTCAACTGGTCAATAAATGAAAGAGTTCCATTTTATGACTGCTCAAATGAACTGAAAGAGAGAATATCTTTGCAGAGGGACTTGTCACACCAAAAGACGGATTAGCAACCAAACTCTCACAGCCAAGAGTTAGCTGAAATCCATTATTCCTACCAGTTAAGTAGGTTTAAAACATGTATAGGTCGAAAACTTAGAAACGACAATAAAATATACTATGCCTTATATTCATCTCTATTATAATTACAGAGCAGTTTATATTACAGAAAAAAAACCTATTTAATTCAACAGATCAACTACCTCACTGCCCAGCGATTTCATGTTAATAAACAGGTCAGACTAAATGCTGAAGGTGAGACAGTGTTTCTTTTAACTCAGTTATCCTCCTATCGCCTTCATTATCAGATTTTTTAACAGAATTTTTTTTAAAATCACAGTGAAGTCAAAGCTTGCATCAAACAAGCAAAGCTAAATAACACTGGTTTTAATATACTTCCTGCCATCTAAGCCATTGTTTTTCAATAAGCCAGACCCTATTAATGATGCTTCACATCATGCTCTTGGTCATACCCTAAAGGGATGGAAGAACCCACTACAATTAAAGGAACGATGGAATATACGATATATATTTGTGGAATCATACAAAAGCTTCTCTCCCATCCGCTCTCTGTATGTGCTGTATATCCTAAGGATTATCAGTAGCAAAGAGGATTATCGGTGATCTGTGTATTTGCATTGACCAGATTAAACATCTACATTGAATTAGTTAAACACTGAGTAACTGTATCTGAAGAGATTGCTGAAGCTATCCTAATCCAAACAATTGAAGAAAGTGCTGCACCCAGCATTTACAGTATTTGATTTTTAACCTCCACTTTTCTTTATGCACAAAAAAAGGACTTAAAATCTTCAAAAGACAACTTTAATTATATGAGTAGCACAATCTCGTTCAAGGAAATCATATAGTTTATTCATAAGTTCTGAACCTAGAGCCTTCTAAATTAATCACAGCACTCTGTGGTAATAAGTGTACTTACTAATTTTTATCTGGTGATGGCTAAGATACATACTACACTGCTTAGAAACTTACTATTAGTCACATAAAACTAAACATCTGTGACACAAAATTTACTTCTTCCCATAATTCTGTCTGTGTCTTATCCATCACTTACTGGAACGTTAGACAGTCAGCATAATCTTTTTGGATGCATTGCATAGCCCACAGTCTTTTATGATTTTCCTATCAAAAACTTGAAGTTTGTTACATACTTAAGGTGGGTATAATTACAGAAGTGGATTAACTATAAATTACACTAACCATTATCTTACCTAAGTAACCCAAAGAGAAGTCCACAGGATTCAACTAAGGCCATTTCAGTAACCCACTGAAAACCAAACATTTCCACTACATCTTCTTCATAGTCATTTGGAGAAGGATCTAGTCTCAGCAAAACCCTGTAAAATAGAGCCAACAACATTCATATATTCCCCAGTAATAAACCTATAGAATACAATACCTACAGCTGGCTTATGTACCATTGATATTTTATTAATATATATACACGATAGATAGGAAGGAGTAGCAGTGCTCTCAAAACGCAGACTGTTACACCTTTTAGAGGAATATAATATATAGTACATAAAATATGACAACTCCTAGCTTTGAGAGCATAAAAACATGATATAGTCACAGGGCACAGTACATTTTAGAAAGAAATAAAAATAAACAAGCCACCACCTTGAAGCATCTTCATCCATACAAAGGGGCTGAGACATAACATACAGACTGTCCTGAACAGAAGAGGCTGCTACATTAGATAACATGCTCCACTGTAAGTGTATGTTTGGAATCTGTCTCAGTGTACACTACATGCCTGATAACCAACGCTAGAACACACATTCCCTCTTTTATATACATTTAATAACAGTTATACAGAACACATTGATAAAAGCACATTAATAAAAGCACACTTTTAGGCAGGTGAACTGATGAGGGTCACAATATGGCACTTCATTATGGTAACTTAGACTAACACAGGCCATGACTATCCTTTACTCTGGCTAAAGAAAAAAAAAAAAAAAAGAATTACTCGAAGTGGACAAAATCAGATATCCATATAGGTTGTTAAAACATTATTATTTGTGCAAATATAATAATTATATTTTATCACTGTGCTTTCAAAAAATATCACTGCAAGCTGTATAACAACAACAACAGCAGCAACATCAAAGCAAATTAGTTCAGAATTTTCCCACTGCCTTTCAAAAAATACTTCAGTGTAGATGAAGCTGAATTCACTATTATGCAAGAAATATTTCTATCTTTAAAAAAAATAAAGATTACAAAAAAATTTTAAAAATATACTGGGCAAGCAGTTGTTTTTCATCATATTAAACACCAAATTCATATTCTTCTTGAACGATGCACTATTACCAATTCAGTTCTCAGAGGCAAAAAAAGAATCTGCTGAATCTCCCGTAACACCTGTAGTTCACTTGCTAACTGCCTAAACATCTGTCTGTTTTGAAGCCTTTAGCAATTATACCCAGTTATTCCTGTTCTAGATAATGAAGACAGAGGAATGCCTCACATGCAGGCTTTTTCACGAATTTACAATCCAAGTAGATAAGGTGAATAAATGACAGGAGAACAGTATTACTCTGACTGTAATGATCTGGGAAACCCGTTTACATACAAGCTCCTGAGTGAGTTTTCACATGGAATTGTTTGTGTCATGAAATGCTTTTTTGTCAGTGTGGAATCCACTACTGATAAATTCATGTAGACACAGGCTCTCTCAATTGTCTACTTGACATCAATTCAAACGAACATGCTCTGACTCAACAAACAAACAAACAAACAAGATAAATAAGGTAGGGAATGGCGGAGGTGCAGCAGAACCTCCTTTAAGGCTTTATAGAAAAGGTTGTGGAAATGAAGGTTAAAAAACCCCAAAGTAACAACACAAAATATGATGCTTGGCAGGAGGACAGACAGGAAGATTATGCTTTTGTAGGAAAAACAAGACAACCCCTGCAGGATCAGCAAATGGCACAGAAAACTAAGCTGAATCACAGACAATAAAGGAATATTAACTAAACCAAAGGAATGTTTTACAGTCTTATGGAAAATATTTACTTGCTAAGCATGTGACTTCTGAACCACAAACCCAGAATGTATGCAAAGGTAGAGCTTTGAGAAAGATGGTCTTAAAGCTACAAAGGACAGTCCCAGCGATCTGGGGAAGCTGGGCAGAGCAGGTTTGTTTCTATCACACGGAAAAGAGAGGAAGGTCCAGCACTGAATAGAGCATATGACTGCAAAAACCAGTGCTGCAGCCTCCTTGGAAATTTAAGGGATCTTAGATGCTGTTGCCCAGCAAGCCAGTTTTGAAGTGTCCTAACAAGCCTGTAACAGGTCCTTTACGATATCTTAAAGTAAGTTCACAAAGCTAGGAACTGGACCTGGAACAGTGTTCAAAGCAGTGTATCAACACAACTGCCCTTCCCACTTTGGTATTCCACCAAGTTGATCATAAGAGCTGAAGAACAAACTGATTTGGAAACTCTGTCAGTGTGTAGAGGCACCAAACACCAGCGGAAAGAACATCTTAGAAGGGTATTATGTTATTTGTAACTCAAAAAAACCACCATACCTCTTAAAAGACCCACTTGCTAAATAAGACTCTGAAGAGAAGCTTCTCCCTCCATTTTGGTTGTCAAAAGCACAGGAAAAACAAGGCGGCTTTGAGTTCTCATTCTCCACTTCCATTGCCAACTCCAAGCTTTCAGTGAGAAATGAGGGTGTGGAGGAAGCCACAAAGTCATCATCCATTGTTTCCCCCTGATCCAGAAAATAAATAGGTAAATTAAAAAGCACTCATAGCGTTGCTTCAAATAAATTTCTCGTTGTTACAACTCCCCATAATCCTTCAGCTCAAGTGAGGACACAGATCCTAACATCAAACTAACAGACAGAGAGATACCACCAAGAAAGGCAGCCATGGACTCGTGCCTTGCCACACAGCTGTGCCGCTTTGTTCAACTTCACCTGCCTCCATCACAACCTGTTCAAGGAGTCATATCAGTAACTACAAAAATAAAAAAATAGGTACATTTTCTTCTGGTTTAGCTCTCTAAATTAGACTAGTCGTGAGGTTAAACTAGCACTAGGGTAAAATAAAAGGCAGGAACACATTACAAGGCACAGGTGAGCTACTTTCAGTAACACTTCATTTTGCGACCACAGTAGCTATGCTATGAAAATACATCACACATTACAGGCTCAAGTTTCTCCTGAGAAGCATTAAAAACACCCCATGTAATAATTACAGAACCCTGAAATGTTAACGTTTTAAAGCTCAGAAAATTACTATATGGCTGATTCTGACAGCTAAAGTCAGAAGTTTCTATTAAAAAAGTCTGACTTCCTAGGAATCTGAAAAAAAAAAAAAAAAGAGAAACAAAAGCAAAGGAAAAGAAAGATCACATCCTAGAGAAGTTCACTGCATACTTCACATTAGTAAATTAATATCTTAGACACATACTGAAAGACTAGAATTAGGCAACAGGTGCCACAGAGTTCTACGTGAACACACAAACAACATAATCAAAACTTTAAGTTTTCAATTTCATTGCTGGCAGTTTTCGATATTGTTCTTGCAGTAACCACTTTACACCACGGCTAGAAGTTGGTAATACATAGGCTTGACCGAAAAATAAGCTCAAGCAAAAAAAAA